AATATTCTTATAACATTTACTTGCTTAGTCCTACATATAAAATTGTTTACTTTTATTTATAAGTACGTGAAAATAATTCTTAAAATGTGGGGTTAGAATAACAGCAAACGCATGTTTTACAAAAGTTTTTTTTTACTTATTATTTTATTTGAGTAAATTTAAATGGTAACAATGAATAAACAAAACATCAAGGATTTTATTTTTGCGCTTACTTTTGTTCTACACGTTTTACTTTTAAAGATTTCAGTACCTAAAAACGCCAGAAATTTCACTATTTCTCGGCCAGGAATATGGCCACCTTAACAACAATTGGGGCTTCGTAGGGTAACTTTCGATGTGCGTCGTAGGTCGTCTGCGATCTTTCGTATATGGATCTATACACCTTTCTATACATACATACATATTAGAACTATTCTTTCTGTATAAGCTCAAAATATTGAAACTTAATTTTTCTTTGTTATCGCCGTTGTAGCACACCGTATTGTCAAAATTTTAACTGGGATCTTGCGCTTTTTTTTGAAAGGGGTTTAAAATTTAACAAATATGTATATTCTGTTATTTTAGTTAGTAGGATTTCGAAATATTGTTACGTGGTCGGAATAAAGTTGTGATGCAGCTATATTATTTAGAACAAACATTATTATTATGCTTGACATATTTTATTTAATTTGTATTTATTTGAATAAATATTTCTACCACTGACAATTCAAATTTGTTCGGTATAACAACCGAAGATTCGCTGTAGTCAAGTTATAACCGAGATTGAAAATCAAGTTCAATGTATTTTTTATAAATATTCTAATATTATTATTTTTGTTATTATTATATCTATTAGGTACTAAAGATAGGGGTTTTTTGTGATGTTACATATATCGATTAATGGAATATATCTTATCTAAATACGATTAGTGACACAATAGTTTATTTCGATTTGTAAAACTCTTAATTTTATATAAAAACAAGGATGATATCAAATAGTAGACGAGTGTTATGATTGCATCTTTCCTTAAATAAAGTTATAATACACATGGGCGTAGCTACAATTTTTGTTGGGGATGCACCCAAGACTGCAAGCTTTATGGAGGCTTCCAAAAAAAAGGCACCGACTTACCGATATGACAAAGATGATAATATTATTATATACTGTGGTGTATCTTCTGTTTTATGTTTAATATTTCAAGGATTTGTCCAATATTATTATAAGTAATCTATGACAGTTTTGTTAAAATATTAATTTTGCTTTTTTATTATAAGTAATAAATCTTTGTAATATGGAAGATATTTCTCAGAAACATCTTGTAAAACAGTTAGCTGAAATGTAGATTTCTAGTTTTTTAATATTGTTCAAAAATTAACGAATTTTACTTACACTACTTATTTTGGTATAACTTACTCCAGATAAAAAGCAGCTCTTTAAAAATATTTAACTTTAAAAAAATTGTAATTAATTTATTTTTTCCAGTTAAAAACACCATGTCAATAAAAAATGTGTGAAATAAAGAAAAAATGTGTCTTTTGTTATAAAGGGCCCCACACACTTCGATTAATTCGCACTAATCTGCACGAACGTGCCAGGACGCAATGTGGAGAAAAAAGCGGTACGGTTTCTTGGTCGTGCAAAATCTGTTTCGGTTGGATACGTTGCCTTTCGTGGTTCGCGCGGTTAGGTCTGTACCATGTCTGTACGGTCCTGTTTGCACTAATGGAACGAAGGCTGTCAGAGAGAGCCGCAATTCAATGGCGTGCCAAGCGAGTCAACTGAGACATGCGCGAGCCGTTGCCTAACAATTTTTTTCACGTTTGCGTCACGTTATTAAACTGTTGCTTTGTTACCGTGCGGATGTTGCGTAATTAATTCCTATCCGTTGGTATTCATGGTGGTGTATTGTATTACAATTTAATTTGTTGCTTCTTAATAAATTATGCGTACGCCTATGTGCCGCGGCTCAGTTTTAACAGCTCTATCCATATATTATTATTTTTTAAATAAACGTCACAGCTGCTTCCAAAATTAGCAAATGACCGTATATTTTGGTTCTCAACAACTTGAACGGCTGTCAAAATTGATATGCGTCTTAAAATATGTTTTAAACAATTTTCGCCACTAAAATTTACAATTTTTCGTATCTATGACTTTTGTATCAACTTTTTTTTAGTGGGCACAACCAACGGTTGCAGGAAGGTGCCGTACACCCCATAAATCTCATAATGACTCAAAATGTTTGTTGAGATTCCGAAATTCAACAAGGTGTTGTCCCCTCCCGTAGTTTCTTTTACTTTTCTTAATTTTTCCACAAATAGCAACTGACGATAATTTGTTATAACTTCTCATAAGTGGTCTTATTTCATAAACTGCAATAAAAAAATACAAAAATTACTTTTTAATCCCACATTGCAAGATAACAAGTACACCACACTGATAATTATGACACAATATTGCAGAATACAACTGGGATTACCCATGGAATCATATAATTAAGAGAAACGACTAATAAAGGTTTAATAATGAGGTGCTCTTTATTTACATAATCAAGAGGCATTTAATTGGCAACTAGATCAGACATAACTGTTTTACGCATTCCGCATAAGTTCAAAAAATGCATAAAGAAACTAGATCTTGTTGATACTTATAACAGCTTTCTTCTGCTACATATATGTAACGATGATAGCCAACTATTCAACAGAAGTATTTACCGCATTCATTAAAGAAATTGAGAATACGGATGTGAAATATTTGTGATCAATAAGTTGTTCAATAACATTATTTAAATATGTATTCAAATAAATAACAAAAATATAAATAACTGATCTACATTTTCTTAGAGTTATGTGGTTTTTTTATGCACGAATGTCTGAATTTTTAACGTCATTTTTCTATAGGCTCGCTTTTCATAAACAGAATGTTTTCTATGTACATATAGAAAATTTGAAAGTGTATTTTTTGACACATTTTTAAGGAAAAGTTCCTATAAAAACTTTTTATTTCTGAAACACAGGGTTTTCAAATTTACTTCGGTTTAAAATCAGTGCTTTGAAAATAACAATTAATATTAAATTCTAATTTGGGATAGAATCTAAAGTTATAATAAAATTCCAATTTTTTTTAAATATGTTCTACGTCTATGAATTATTTAAGGTCACAGATTAAATTCTTGAATTCTCCATTCAATCCTAAATAAAAAAGTGTCACTTTATCTTAGAGTACAAGTATCACTTGTTTTAGTTTAACATAACTATGCTTTATAAAACAGTCTTTTCCCCGAGTACATATTCCAAACTTTCCAAATCAGTTTTGCTCCTTAAAATAATGAAAAAGTTCAAAGTCCTAAAATATTTTGGGTTTCCAATTGGAGTGCAATTTTGTTTTTTTACATTTCAGAATGGCAACTTAATTCTCCCTTGTTATTTAAAATCTAGCTACTTGAATGAAAACCAGTAGAATAGAATTAAATGAGCACTTTCATTTTCTAAAGATAAGTCCATATATTTTTAAATTATTTGAATGAAACTTTGGAATAGGAGAATTTTTGGGGCAGCCGGTATTTCTTACCTATAATATATAGGTCGCCAAGAGTTGTAGTAAAAGTACAGTCGATTTTTGAAAAATTCAACAAACACAGTAAATAAGATGGCGTTCCATAAAACGTCTCATCTTTCATTTCCCAAACTCTACCGATAAAAAAAATATAACAAAAAACAAACATTCTTAGCAGTATTTTAAGTAAAAATTAAGTCTATGACTGTATCACTTTCGACTACCTTAAAATTCGCCCTATACTAAATTTTTCTGAATTGTCTTAAAAAATTAAGAATGAATTATCTTAAATAAAATAAAATTAATAGTATATTATTCAACGAGCGTATAATGATGGGTATTATTCACGAGGTGAAGTTTACGGCCACGAGCCGCAGGTGAGTGGCCTAAATCACCGAGTGAATAATACCCATTATACGGGAGTAGAATACTATATTTTATCCACGACTACTAAATATTTTTGTTGAAGTTTTTTTTGAAATGTTTCGAAAAACATGGTATGTTAAGAAACAGATATACGACTCGCACAAATGAAGTCGCTGATGGCTCAGTGTAGATGCTCTTTCCCTTCCATCCGCGGGTCCCGGGTTCGAATCGGGTCTAGGAAAATTCACTTTTTTAATTTTTTTTTATATGTACAGCACTGAATTGAAAATATTTAGTGGTTTACACGATAAAATTTTAAAAACGGATTGTTTGTAGCAGAACAATATAATATTATAGCTAAATTAAGGAAGCATCTGACAGTAGTGATTAATGACTCATAAATCACTGCCGTGATTAATGGGTATTATTAAGGTCGAGCAAACAGACGTATAATGGGTACATTATACAATAGTCGTGGATAAAATATTTTTTGACGGTGCATAATATTAGTCATAACTATAAAGAAGCAAAGCATTAACTTGATCTAAATTGGTTTATTTTAACTAAAATAAGTTATTAACTAATGACATTGTGGGAAACAACTATACTGCGGACTATGCGTAATCCAGCATTAAATTACATCCCCAATATCTAGTAAACAGTTAAGATCATTCTTCAGCAGAATCACCAGACATATGATTCCAAACTTATTACTTTTCATCAGTATTGCATAGGTGATACCTACCACCAACAAATAATGTAACTATTTAAATGTTTTATACAGAATGTAATTTTAAGTGGGGGGCAGATTCTGAGTATATACATTTTTCAACTTCAACATTGTGTATCTCGGAAACAAAGAATTTTTTTTAAAATTTCATTCGAACTACCCCCCCTTGATTTTCATAGTGGAATTGGTGACATTTGTCCTATTAATGAAATGAGATTAGGCAAATATGCATAGCGTATACACCCTGTATAAAAATCCAGAGAAAAAAATTGTGTTTTGGTGCAGAATTAAATTCCTTTTTATATTTATATTTTATTATATATTTTTATATGTATTTCATTAATTCAATCTTTTTTTTTTTTTTTTCAGGCATCGACTATTGATGGCAGGCGCAAGGGAGCATGCCTGTTCTGTCAGGAATACTTCATGGAATTGTACCTGCTGGCAGAACTCAAAACAATCAGCCTCAAAGTAACTACCGTAGATATGCAGAAACCACCCCCTGATTTCCGTACGAATTTCGAGGCAACTCCACCTCCTATTCTAATAGATAGAGGCATGGCCATCTTGGAGAATGAAAAAATCGAAAGGCACATTATGAAGAATGTCCCCGGAGGACATAACCTTTTTGTCCAGGTACATTTCGTGAATTTTAAACAGTAGTAATTATTAATATTTATTAAACTAATTTGGATTCATATCAAGTAATGGTTAGTCAAAATTGTATGCTCTTTAGATATAAGTTGGGTACACAGATCTTGTACGTAATAAATGGGTTGTATCTAGAATGCTCTCCCCGAGGCTTTCCTACTACTTTCCTAGGTATTAAGCTATATTACAAATGTTGCTAAAATAATAAAAGATGGGTCGTCTGCAAAGACAGATAAAAACATTGGTCAGTGTTCGATGTTTTAGATGCGATTAAGAAAGGGTATGTTGATGTGATGACAAATACAAAAAGTTATTTGACGTAAACATTATTTTCTTATCTTTGATTAGTCTTCTCTTTACATTTTTCTTGAAAGAAGTTTGTTTCCGATTCACTAGATATTAGTAACTGATGAGTTGTATTACTGTGTACAAAGAGCAGCTAGACTTATAAATGCTAACCTAAAACTGCTCAGTATAATGAATTGTTTTCTCTATATAGATTCTTCCGAATAATGCTTTTTAAAAATTGTGCTTACAAAAGTAAACACCTTGGACGATCCACCGAAATGAAATTTTGGTATTAGCACACAAATTTAATTAACTTTTTTTTTCTTAAATGTTATGCGATTTTCCTATTTTTGGCAAGGATTTTTTAACTCAGTAAGCCATAAAATTAAGGTATAGAAAAATAATAGTTTCAAAATTGACCCATGTGTTGTTCTAATATATGAAGCCATATTTTCGTTGAAGCACAGAAAACTTTTCATCGGTCAATAAACCATTTCAAATATCTCTACCTTTAAATCATACAATCAGTGCAATTTTAAATACAAGATTATGGATAAGTAAAAATAGATAATCTTCAAGTGTAAAAAAATGTGTACAGATAAATTCTAAACTTAAGTAGAACATATACAAATACTTGTATCTAAATATTGTTATATAAATTATTAAAACAATAAGATGAAATAACACTGATAAATTTAGCTAAAGTATTTACGGTTATGATTAATAAATTAAAAATATTTTAACAATTTCGTACCACCTGTAGTGATAAATAATACCAGAAAAGCATATATGTATTGAATAGTAAATGGAGGATGTTTCAAATTGAATTCAATGTTTGCAATCCCAAAAATCGTCGTAGAAGTTAAAATGGGACAAAATTGCGTAAGTAATAATAATAATAATAATGTTTATTCATATTCATATTAAATACAATACAGTAATACAATAAGTAAATCAACCAATAATTACAATAATTAGTTTGAGCCACTTATATAATTAGCTGAAACCCTAACTTATCCCTAACTGAAAGATAAAAGAAAGTAAAAAAAAAGTTGCGTGTATAATTAAATATTTCTGAGAAAGAAACTGAAAATAGCACTGTTTGATTTTTTGAACAATGAAAAGTTTTCGGATTTTGATTTTGTCAAGTTCTACATTTATTTGAAGAGGTACAAAAACATATAAAACATATGATTAAGGCCACATACAGTTTGGTGTTCTGTCGTTCAGTAGTCATCCTTAACTTATTAAAAGAAAAATACACTTATTAACATTTTTGCACAATTAAATTTCTGTAAATATTTTCACAATTTTTCCACAATTTAACCATATCTCTAAAGTTTGAAATAGCACTGTTATAATGTCCGACATGAAACAGAGTGAATGTAATTTTGCCTCAGAATTATATAGGATGTTTGGAAAATACGTGTCCAACATAAAATACGAGATTCCCTTATCTGCACAGAATAGGCCAATTTATCTATATTCCAAATGATGTGCTTTAACCTGTTCAAATTTCATGCAAAAAATAGTTTTTCTACAAATATCTCCAAATCGTACCAATCAATCTTGAACTTTTGGGATTTAAGTTCCTGGGCACCCTGTTTACAGGGAATTTCATTTTGAATAACCGGCCACACAAAATAAAAAACGTTAGTCCTAGAGGCTAAACCATCCTATTTCTATGTGCTTTGCCCCAGTCACGTCATGGTTTTTTTTCTTAACACCAAAAATCGCTGATGAACTCATATATTTTAATTTAAAGTTTGGAACACAATAACCGGACTGGCATCGAACTGATATACTATATATCTATGGATATGTACTTATTTTAACCTACTGAATATGAATGACATCAATTTTTACTAATAATGTCATGGTTCATTCCTAACAACAAACTTTTATTCTTAGAAATAATAGCGGGACAGACATGGAACTGAAAACATTGTTTCTTCTCTTTATTCCGATTTATTCCCTTCAATTTTGCATGGGTAATTGTGGGAATTGTTTTCCCAAGTATTGGAAACTTTTTTTATTTTTAATATGGGACAATATTCAGATTTTACTGGGATACATTGCTTTTTATGCTTATGGAACAGATGTAATCAGAATACCACATTACGGTAACTGGAGTCAGTGGAGTCTACCAAGTTTAAAGTCTATGTCTTCAATGGTTTTTGAGTAATCTTTTAAAACTATGCTCAAAAGTTTCATTGCAAACCCTTGGAAATTGTTATAGGGAAAATTATTAATCTTGTTTTCTAGCTTGTTTTGAGGATAGAAACCGGCTTATTTTTATTTGTAAAAAGGTATATTTGGTACGCACCATTAAAAGATCTTCTAAATTACAAGTAGTTTTCAAACCATTTAAGATTATGAAAAAAAATCCAAAATGTTTCTGAAATATTAAACAAAAAACTGAAAACAGCATAATGAAGGAAATCACAAGATTTCATAGTAGTTGGAAAACCATGCTAGAAGAGTACTAGTTGAGAACCTTCAAAACAAACAAACCAAAAATACATAAATTAAAACATATCGCAAGTCTTAGTGCCTCTTTTAGTAATTTTGTATTTCAGTAACAAATGCCATAGAATGCGGCATCAGCTCCTTTTTTTAAAGCATAGCTTCTAATCATAACATTTTTTGTATCTCTATAATTTGTTAAAACAACACCTTTGAAAAAGCAGTTGGAAGATGTTACAGAACACAGAACCCAACACTAAACCAGAGAAAAGAGTTGAAACTCAAAATTTGTTAGCTCAGGTTCCCAGTGAGTGCAGCATTTTCTTTTCAAAATTTGTGCCTAACTTTTTTTGCTTAATTAATACCCTTTTGTTCGCGCCATGTAAGTAGATACACCGTATTTTAAAATTTGGCATTTGGTTCCCTATTCTATAATTATATCCAACAGTGGCGTACACAGCTTTTTTGTAAGGGGGGGGGTTACACTTTGTAGTAAGATTTTCGCGGCACGAAACTAGAGCACAGGGAAGCAGACGAAACTAAAAAGCGACGTTGCAACGTTTAGTCCGATTCAAGTACGATATTGGAAACAACAAAATATATACGGCAATAGGAAGTTTTAATAGGTATATAATTATTGTTAAAAGTTAAAGCTCATAGGGGGGGGGGTTGAACCCCCCCCCCACCCCCCCCCCCGTGTGTACGCCACTGATATCCAATTACTCTTGTAAAATTTTTGTATCTTAGATTTTTTAGTGAAATTGCATTATAATGCCTTCTCTATTTGTTTTACATTAGAAACTCCAGCTTTTCAAAATAATTTAAGTTAAGAAATTACTACATGAGGTTTTAAAATTCACTTATTATTATTATTGTTATTATTGTGCATCAACTTAGTTCAGATTTAATTATTTTCTTATGTTTATTTCGCCCCCTTTCTCATATTTACTTTTCTTATTATATGATGCTCAATTAATGTATTGACATATGAGGATTCAATAAAGGCAATTTATTATTATTATTATTATTATTATTATTTTATAACAATATTTTTTTAAAGAACTATTCTATTTTTGACAACATACAGTAATTTTTTTATTGTGTTATTTTAACAAAATACCTATACTCCGCGGTCGAAGTTATAGAGAGTGATTCAGACATAATATCAAAACACTATTACCATAATGCGTATAAAATATAAAATGATTTTTATACGGTTCAATATTATTTATCTTTGTGCCGCTTGCTACGCACATCGACAGAATCTATAATCGTCTATAGACTGAGTTACACTGAACGTCGATCTATATTCTATCTCTGTCTTTTGTACTTGGTAGGGAATTGCTTTTTTAGTTGGGTGTAAACGGACTTGATTTAACCGTCCCGAGAAACGTCATAGCATAAGCGTAGACGAGGAGTCTAATTCCATGGCTATAATAAATTTATAAATTAAAAAAACACAACTGGGACGTTTTAAAATGCTGTAGTAATTAAAATGGATCAAAGTGCCTGTTATGGCAAACTGTAAAAAAATATTAGATGTTATGTTTTATTATCTTTTTTCAATATTTTCTATATCTTGTTGCCTTTTACGCAGACACGCCAATGGATTTTCGTTCCCGGCACGCTTTATCCCTCTTACTAGTCCAAAAGCTAGTGATGAGTCACTCTCTATAATTTGGACCGCGGAGTAAATATGGAAATATCAATCAGCCTTATAGGTATAGGTTATGTTTTAAAAGTGAAACTGATGTATTTTATAACAATTGAAATGCGGAATTACTAGCATGGCATTGCAAGTACTAATTATATTTACTATATCACTTGTGAAGGTATCGTTAAGCCTTTTTGAAATATTAAAAAATAATGATTCCTTTTCAAAAAAATCGGAATAGGACATTACTAGATCAACATTTACACATAGCTTTTCATTTGTCTATTTTTACTTGAGGATATTCCTTAAAAATGTTTATGTAAATCTTGGGCTGGAAATTTACCATTTCATTCTTTTTGAAAAAGAGTCTATTTTTCTTAAATACTTCAAAAAGGCTCCTGTAAGCTTATGCACTTCCTCGTGAAACACCCTCTACGGTACAAAAGTTAATATCTTAATACAGTGCAACCTCTTTAATCCGAACACCACATTGCCAGGGATTGTTCGCATTATCGAATCGTTCGGATTATCGAACATACTATAAAGATTTGTACCTACATTATGTATATTATGTAAGTACATACACATTTTATTATAACAATATAAATATAAATCATATAAGATACATAAAACGTATATAAGGTAAAACATAAACATGTAGTTACATATACATATGTATATGTATTATTTTACGCTTTTCACATTTTTTATTTTTCTTACTTCCAAAAAAACTCCAAAATTGTTACACAAACACGACACGCAACAGGTTCTTCGCTATCGGCAAACAAACTGACTGCCGACTACGCGCGTACGCGCGAAGCGATCTAGTCTTTTCGTGTCATCGTTCAGATTTGGTCGTTCGGATTAGCGTGTGTTCGGATTAACGTGTGTTCGGATTAAAAAGGTTGCACTGTACTTTCACTATATTTCTAAATCTTTTAGTCCTATAAACACCTAGCAACATGTATCATTTATAGCATTTTCATATACGATAGCACTTGATTGACCCATCTATAAAAAAGTATTTGCCAATCCATCTCATTGTATTTGGTTTTCGGTTATAGTACATGCCTATTTTATATAACTGTAATATAGTTTTCTGTTAATATTATTAATGAATATAGTAAATTGTTTATTTTAGGACAAAGAAGTGGCAACTCTCATTGAAAATCTTTACACCAAATTTAAAATGTATGTCCGAAAGTTTGAGTCGCCAGACACCACAGAATGCAGACAACCTCTTCTTTCCCATCTTGAACGAATCAATGACTTTTTGGCAAAGAGGGGTACTCGCTTCTTGACAGGAGATACCATGTCCTGCTTCGACTGCGAATTAATGCCCAGATTGCAACATATCCGTATCGGGGCCAAGGCTTTCCGCAAATTCGAAATTCCAACAAGATTCACTGCACTCTGGACTTACATGGCAAATATGTACGAGCTAGAGGCATTCATTCAGAGTTGCCCCGCTGATCAAGATATAATTAGTCACATCAAAAATCAGTTAGGATTGAGAACAACAGCCAGGATAGAGCTCGAAACTCCGGTATACACTACTGCCATTCCTGTACTTTCAGAATCATAAGAACGTTCATTATTAAACTGCTTTTTATAGTGCAGTGAGTAGTGATTGAGGTGGGCGACTAAATTTAAATTCAGCAGAAAACTTGCTTGAGGCTTTATCGAACAGCATTGTTTGTAGTTATACATTCAAAAATTCGTTCCATATTAGCTGAACTTTAATAGGGACAAATTTATAGATTTCAAAAGCAGTTTTAAACTTTGCTTTATAGTGTTATAAAAATTATATATCATATTTAAATTTGTAAAATGCTTCCGTGTATTCCATCTATATTTATGTATGTGAATGTAAGCGAGCGATTTTGGGTGAATATCTTAAAATTTATTAAATGAATTTATATGGTACGCCTCAATCATTGGACTCTTTATTTTAACCATAGACCTAGTCAGAGGAAAAAGCTCGACATTTGTTACTTTTTCCTTTAACTGATTCTACATGAAAAATTAAAATAGTACATAATATAATGTATGTAAACATTTTATAAAATGTGATGAGTAGAAAAATATTTATATATCACTTGTTTTTTTGTACATAAATATTTTGATTACAGTTTAGGTTTTTCCAATCTTTTATATTAGGTATTTTGCATTTCTTTTTTTTTCAAGTTTTTCATGTCCTCCAAATGTATTAAAATTATTACTTAAGTTTACTTTTCTATAAGTATTTGTATTGTACTGGAATTAATTTAATAGTTAAGGTATATGTTACTTGTATTTTCAGAAACATAAATATATAATTACAATAAAATTAATTTCATTGTTAATAATCCTTTCCCGGACTAAAATTTGGAAGGGTTAGTACATACTGTTTTCGATGCCTGGTTATATGATACATGTTGGTTTCAAATTGTCTCCTGATATTTCCGAAATGGATGGTATATCAAAAGAAAAGATTGCCTTTATTAGTTTTCTACACAAATGGGCAGTAATGTATATTTATCTAGTCTTCTGATGAAGAAATATTTCAGCGAAAATTTTTAAATTCAATGAATCAAAAAATTGTGACGATGGATTGAGTTAAAATTAGTGATATGAATATAAACTTAACTATCACAGATTTTTTTGCTACCGTCAAAGCCTACTTTCCAGTAAAGTAAACACATGGTTTACATCAGTGGTTCCCAAAATGCAGGTCGTGACTCCCTGAGGGGGTTGCAGAGGGTTGCTAAAAATTTGAAAAAATATACTTATTGGCATAAATTAATTTCACAGTTAAATAAAAATCATGAGATAAACATATACAGAGTGTCCCATTAATATTGCGCAAAAATTCAGGGGAAGTTTCCTTGACCAAAAATAAAGAAAGTTCCTATACACCTATATTCAAAAATGCTTCATTTCGGAGATACAGGGTGTTCAAATTTAGAGAAAATACAAGGTTTTTATTAATATCTGGAGAACGTTATTTCCGATTTTTTTTTAAATTTGGTATGTTCATTTATAAAAATGGTAGACGTCTTCTGACGTAATTTGATTTATTTTATCTATTCCAGCGACGTCCGGGGACTCACTCCTGTTGATATTAATAAGTAAACATATGAGATGTCACTGCTTTTTCTTAGGCATCATATTTTTTTCTAATTATGTGATTAAAAATACAACTTATTTGTCTCTTTACTTTTTTTGATATCTTGTTTCGTTTTCGAGCAAAAAATTAATATCCTTTCATATGCACATTCAACAAAAATAGAAATTCAATGTTTTAGTTATTTACTAATCAACTTTAACAATACATTTGAAGGAAAAACAGTGTAACAATAACTCCCTAAATAATATTTTTTTAAATAATTTATATTAACAGAAACATAAGAAAAAATATTTAACAAACAGCAATGATATGAAAAATACTTTACATACACAAGCGTTACAACAGTTGAAAATGTGCACCTTCAACTCTAATACAGGCATCTATCCTACGACACATTGATTGGCGAACCCTTTCAAATTCGTATAAACCAAATGTTTGAGGTGACCCCAAAGGAAAAAATCCAACAAATTTAAGTCGGAAGACCTCGGGGGCCAGGGTTGAGTGCCTCCTTCACCTATCCAGTGATTTGGGTAGATATTGTTCAAATATTCAGGCGTAGCTAAACTGAAATGGGGTGGAGCACCATCGTGCATAAAATACATTTGCAACTTAATGGCAATGGGATGTCTTCCAAAACTACGGGCAATTCATCCTCAAGAAAACGGCAATAAACATCTCCAGTAAGCCTCGGTGGTAAAAAAAAAATGGGCCTATTAAGTGGTCTCCCACAATTCCGACCCATACATTAAGTAAAACTGGTGTTGATGACGGCCTTCTAATATTGCATTTGGGTTCTCGTCCGCCCATACATGATTATTATGGAAGTTCATTATGGCTTTTCGAGAAAAATTCGCCGCATCCGTGAATAGTATTTCTGCTAAAAATTGAGGATTTTCCCCAATTTTTTGTCGTATCTATTGACATAATTCTAATCTTAACGGAAAATCAGTCAGTAAAAGTGTCAACCCATTGGATGTGATGAGGGTATAGATTATTTTTTAAAGTCCTGAAAATTGTAGAATGACTTGCATTTAAGTTTCTAGCAATCTGTCTGGTACTTGTTGTTGGAGTGTCCTCAATTTCATGAATTTTTTCCTCCAATTGTAGGGTTATTGCTGTGCGGGGTCGCCAGTTTCCTGCGGTAGGTTTTTGAAAACTTCTAGTTTCACTAAGACGTTGATGAAGACGGGTAAAGATAGTATGATGAGGAATTATACGATTAGGGTATTTCTGCTCATAGGGGCGCCTGGCGGCTGCATTACTATTGGCAAGGCCATAAAGAAAATGCATATCACACATTTCACTATTTGTGTAATTCATTTTAACAAGCAGGAATTGACAACTACACAGTTCAAGTACTTATTAAAATCACACACTTAGGCTATTAATTTTTTACTCGAAAATGAAGCAAGATATCAAAAAAAGTAGAGACAAAAAGGTTGTATTTTTTATCGCATAATTAGGAAAACATGACACCTAAGAAAAAGCAGTGACGTCTCATATGTTTGCTTATTAATATCAAGAGGAGTGAGTCCCCGGACGCCGCTGGAATAGATAAAATAAATCAAATTACGTCAGAAGACATCTACCGTTTTTATAAACAAACATACCAAATTTCAAAAAAATCGGAATTAGGGTTTTCCAGATATTAGTAAAAACCTTGTATTTTCTCTAAATTTCAACACCCTGTATCTCCGAAATGAAGCATTTTCGGACATAGGTTTATAGGAACTTTCTTTCTTACATTTGGTCAAGAAAACTCCCCCTGAATTTTTTCGCAATATTAATGGGACACCCTGTATATTCTTATTTGTTAGAAACCAATTTCTTAAATCATGAGATTGTGTAATTGAGATATACAATTCTATTAATTTTCCAAAATTTTCTTTCTCACGGTGATCTGAGAAAGAAAATTTTTATTTTTACATTCTATCGGCATGTATCACAAAAAAATTCTTTAATTTAATGTGAATTTATGCTATATAGTTCATTGGATATATAAAATTGGATTATTATCTGTCTACAATCGTCATCATCTAATTCTTTCTGAGAAGTAATAAAGGATGTTTCAAACTGAATGAAACATGTTTTCGACAAGTTTAGAACACCAGTGAGACAAAAATATAATGCTTTTGTTGGAAATATACCGAAAAGAGGTATGTCTGTATATTATACAGGATGTTTATTAAGTACATACTTGTAAATCTTTGACTAATTTTAAAATGTTAGAGGGAACTACATACAGTGTTGTACCTTGATTTAAATAACCATAACTTTTGTGGCGCACTTAATGTTTAACTAAACATACCTATTTTCCATTCAATTTTACGTACAAAATGTACTTTTAGTATTTGTCACTGAAAAAATGGGTTTAAAAGTTAAACCTGTGTTGGAATTTTGTAAGTTGAATCATTAAGAGTTTTTGAAAAATAAAAGAGAAAGAGTCATGTGCACACTAGCACTTTACAAATTACTATTACCAAATTAGTGAAAATTAGAAAAAATAATGCATGTATCTACTGTTTTCTTTTGAACCGCCGCACACTGGGAATTTTTGTATGGAGGTGAGGAAAAAAAGTTTTTTTTTTAAATATAGTAACTTATTGACTGCTGTAATTTTATTTATATAGTAGAACATAAAATAATTCAACTTTAAAAAAATATGTATATATTTAGGGTGAAAAGCAAAGGGGTACAAGTATCAAAACTAAAAAAATTGAGTTATATGCAGGAATCAACACTTAATACCAATATCTATTACTCTATAGGTATGTATTATGTATTAGAAACCAAAAATATTATGTATGAAAATGCGTGTCAGGTTGCAGCACCCAGCGCTCCCCACTCTTCCGAATTTACGAACTCGAACGAAGCTAATTCCCTATGTAGCGTTCCAGAAAATAAAAGTCTCTGCAGTGTTTATTTTTTCAATTTTAGCTTATTGAAATATCCTATTTTAAATAAAAAACAAAAATAAAAATGTCAGCTAAAGCAATAAAATAATATTCGTCTTGAAATTCTTAAGTTAAATTTCAGTCAGTTCAATAAAACATACAAGTAATGAGTTTGAAACGGTTTAAAAAAAAACTAGTAGTCAGATCAAAGTAATTCGTTTTGATTTGATTGTAATAGTTATTTCGAAAAATAAAAATACCGTTGCATATTGCATTAATAGTATATTGAATATATGACTTTTTTCCGCGAAATCCCCACAGTGCGCCGCTGCAGAGGAAAGATTCAGCATACTTTTTTTGGAAAATTTTTGTTTTTTTCTAATTTTCAGCAAATTGGTGATAGTAATTTGTAAAGTGATACTGTAACATAGCACATGATTCTTTTTCGCTTATTTTTCAAAAACTCTAATGACAACTCAAATTTCAACGCAGGTTTAACTATAAAGCCGTTTTTTTACAAAACGGCTGCTTTCAGCGATAAATGCTAAGAGTACCTTTTGTACGTAAATTTGAATGGAAAATAGGTATGTGGTACCCTCTAACATTAAACAAAATACCAAACAAAATTTTTTTTTGGACGCTATGTATCTCAAGAACCAAGTCGTTACAAACCCATGTGCATATGAACATTTTATCTTAAAATTAGTCGAAGATTCACCCTTTCAAGTTTGTACAAGTAGGTACTTAATAATTACCCTGTATATATATTATGTGTGACCGTACTTATAAAAATCATCACAATGTAACTGATGAAGATCTAATTAGTTCAAATTTTCATTGTTTCATTTATTAGTACCTACTTTGAATTTTTAACTGTACGTAGGGGGGGTTGGAGGAGTGCCACAAATAAATATATGAGAAGGAGCTATGTCATCAAAAAGTATGGGAACCACCGACGCCTTATATATGAAATCATGAAAATCGTGAAATCATGACCTTAATCATGAAAAAAGCCTGTTATATTTTTTATTTGGCATAGTGTGATTTTTAAATTGAAATCAGGTACAGTATATTTTCTATAATTTGGACATCCTGAAGTTACTACTACTACTGAAATCGAAAAATTAGTGCCAGCAAGAAAATTCTCTGAAGATAAACTAATGTTTATGCCATGTTGTAATGCAACTGAAACACAGGTATTCTTCCAATTTTCATCATGGGTAAGTCACATAATCCAAGAACTTTAAAGAATTCTCAACTTCCAACAATTTACAAAGCAACTACTAAAGGCTGAACATCCAACAGAAATCGTTACTTTGGGTTCCGATTTCACAATTTTTTATACAGGCAGTTACAAATTCATTTCTCACAGAAACAGTAAGAGATACAAAGTAACTTAAATGGGGGCAAAGTTGCATCATAATCAGGGGATCAACATTATACCTCTAAAAAATAAAGGTTAAAGTGATTAGTGTTCGAAATATTAAAAAAAAAACGAAATTTTGGAAATCTGTTTTTGTTTCAATTCAGCCTTGTTTGAGATGATATTGAAAATAAAATATTGGATAGGATAGGATAATATAATTATCCTATTTTAACTAGACACTCTGTATCTCTTTACTTATCAATCGTGATTAACTAAACAATATTTCCATGGAAGGATTGGATGGAGACCACTACGAAAAGTCTTGGAGGATCACTATTGTCTGAAGAGTGCTTTCGTCCGTAGCAGCTGTAGAACCAACAAGAACTGAAATGAACATCAGAACAGGCCTAGACGTTCTAATAGAGGGTCCACCACTAAAAAACCTAGTCCAAGAACAACAAGGGCAAGTCAAAGATTCTTAGTCCAGACGAAAGAAGTGAAAGATAATTCTGTAACTGGAAGCGACCAGGTACATATAGGCGGTATAGGCCACAGCATAACAACCTGAAAAACCGTACTTTAAATAACATTTCCATTCCTACGAAGTATCTACAGTAAAGTGTTATGCTCATAAATCAAAATCATCCTGTAGATTTATTTCGTAATATTTTTGTTCAACAGAAACCTATTAAATTTTGAACTTATTCATGCGAATTTCACACACAACTAAAGTGACTGTTTTATTGAAAAAATTATTTTATATTATTAGTAGATGCACATTTATAATTGAGGAGCAGCTATGCAAAAGCCGATAAATCCATTTATAAACGTTTTTTAGTTAGGCACGGAAATCGCTTCTTATAATAATTCAATCTCCGACTTGGTTACATCTAGATTGAACAAAGAACGTTAATTTAATGAGAAACAGCATATTAAAATAAGCGACTAACCAAAAGCTAATAAATCCATATTCGACCAAGCAAAGAGCGTTAAATCCATGTATACTAAATTTAACAGAATTTGTTAAAATTTTTTCTTTTATTTAATTTTTTCGTAGTTTCAGTTTATCGCGAGATGATGCAATTTTCACATACATGCAGTGCATAAATATGAGATTGTAATAAAATAAGACTTGTCTTGGTACAAAAATATTATATTTGAGATGGCCTACCAAGAACAGGAAGAAGTTATATATAATTGATTAGAAGATGATGTTGATTTTACATTTAGATTTTCACAATTTTCATATTTTGTTTTGTATTAAAATTTTTGTACTTTGAAATAAAAATGTATGGTATATATTGTGTTATACTTTTGCATAAAATAAGTAGAGATTAAGCAGAAGTCGGTATATCCTAAATATGATTTAGAAAAAACCGATAAATCCATTTCAATTGAGCAGAAGTCTATATATCCACATTATGATTGAACAAAAGCCAATAAATCCAATTCAAAAATTGGAATAAAATTTACATTTAAAACATTAAAACTGAACAATAAGCAATATATATTTTAAAACCATGATTAAACTTATAAAACCAGTGCATAAAGTTTAAGATTACAGTGAATAATGTTCTAGTTACAACTTATTCCTAGTTATCTCAAAACCACATATTATATGCATTTATCGGCTTTTGCATAGCTGCCCCTCAATTGTATTATTTAGGCTCATTATGGATTTTAATAGCAAATTAATGTTAATAGCAACACTGCCGCATGCGATTGATTGGAGGCGATACACCCTTAAATTTTTGAAGATTTTTTTCTTCGCTGCAGTCTTAATAAAATTACCTCACATCACGTAGAATTTCATTTTACAGCCTTTTTACTTTTATATGGAAAAAATTTTCATTAATAATATGTATGTTCAGTTCACATATGAATCTTACTAGCTATTAGAATATAAATTGTTTTAATGTACATAAGTGATAAAGGGTCGAATTTTTAGACTAGGTACTACTATAGGTACTTAAAGTAGGTATTAAAATATTCAATCATATCATTATTAAAATCATTCTGTTATACCGTTTGAATGGCATATTTTAATGTGAAAAAAGAATGTAGTTTTTGAGAATCTCTTCTTCTTTATATCTTTACGATATTAAATATTAAATGTCAGTACGATATGATATCATACTGACATTTAATCTGAACCAGTATACCTACCTATAGTAAATTGAAATTTATTTTTTGTGGTTGCAATAATGCAATATTTGATTTAAAAGAATCAAATTCAAATAACAGTAGGTAATTTTATTTATAATGGATATAACCACATTAAGGGTAATATGAAATCCAGAATATAAATCTTACATACTCATATTTATTTCATCACAATTGTATAAACTTCATATTTTAATAGCAAAAAATATTAGGAAAAAAACGTGTAGACAAAATATATTTGATTCAATAAAATCCATTTTCGGATATGGTACCTATTTTGATAAGTAAATAGTATTTACTTATAGGATGCCCTATAACAATTTTAGTTTATTTAGAAGAACGCCTTCGGGTACTTACACTTATCTAATACTAATTCTACTAATATGTCACGACATTGTGTGATTTAATAGGTGGTATATAAGTAATTTTGTGTGTATAGGCTTTATGTGACAAAAGAGAACTTAAACATATATTAGTTATCATAGCTGTTAAACCCCAAATTCGTCTTTTACCTCCCAAAAATACGGGTACTGAATACGATCCTCTGAACTGTGTATGTCCTATTTTTGAAGGATCACATAGTTCTTCTAAGGGTACAGTAAACACTTCTTCTACCTCATGGGTATTTATTTTTAAATTTTCAAGAACTAATTTCTTCTTAATTCGACCTATTACGGGTAAAACACTTGTTTCTCCTCTTGTAACTATAAAATGTCCACTGCCCCAAATTTCAATATTTTCAATACCAATTCCTAATTCTTCTTCGGTTTCTCTTAAAGCTGTTTCCTCCAAACTTTTATCCGTAACATCTTGCATTCCACCAGGAAAACTAACTTGTCCTCGATGAGATTTCAAATGTGCCGCTCTCAAAGTATACAATAGCGACACCTTGTTGCCCACTTCGCAAAGAGGAATTAGTACAGCAGCTTTCTTGGGAGGTTGGCGCGTGTGCAATCTTATCGGCTTCATAGTGGCAAATTTAGCGATGGTTCTTTTTATATTTTCTTCACTAAAAATGTTTTCTGCCGAATATAAACTAGAGCATCTTTGCCCGAGTGATTTTTGAATTATGACACGTGATATGAAGAACATTTTTTACAATTTAGTTTATGAAACACATCACAAAAAATTTTTTGTCATATGCCAGCACTGTCATAAACTTCACTAAACCAAAGGTGTCCGATTGTTTAGTGCAGTTGGCTGATATAATTTTAGTGACATGTATTATCTAACCAACATATTGGCCTCGAAGGGAATAACATTTTTTAATATACAATTTGTAAACTACAAAAATTAATAATAGCAATTATTAGGTAGGTATCCATAATATGAGTAAATATAAATCTTGCCCGCCATATTTAAGAAGGAATTGTATCGCGAAGAAGGAGAATAGTGGTGGTAAAATTGCCGCCACATTTAAAATTATCTCAAGTAATATCTTGTTTATACCAGCTACTATTAAGTTTCTTATTTGCTATTAAACATCAATACATGAAAAAAATTAAATATTTTTGCAAATGAAAATACGCATTCTTATTAGATATTTGTTTTATTACACAAAATAAACAATCGTATATTAATATATTCGTCATTTGAAACGTTTTTATATTGCATGTAAGTAAGTTCAATAAAATAATATTAAAGACAAATGAATGTTGTACACACATCTAATTCTATAACACTACCCAGAAACAATTTCTTTGAATTTTTCTGATTTTTCATCTGTTCTTTTAATAATATTCCGTAAAACACTATCTTCCAGTTCATCACATCTTCCGTATGCAACGATCCTCAGATTTTCATTTTTTGTAGTCCTTGTTTTCTTGCAGTTGAATTCGCAGGTATTGCCATACGTTCTTCCATTAGAAGCACATACCGGTGCATATATTCTTGGGCATACACAAACTGGATAACCATCTTCTTTTGTCAATTCGTCAATTTCATATGCCGAATTAAGGACAAATAGTACACAAAATATTATAGAAAATATTTCCATCTTGCTTTTTGTCAAAATATTGGCAAACATATACCTACTACACTTATCATCAGATTCAATTAGATCTAGATCTTAATAAAACAGTCACCGCAAAAGTACTTTATAACCAGATTATCGCACAAGATTATCAGTTAGGAAATACGCAGACTTGGCTGTTCCACTTGTAAGTAGAGATAGTTACACAGGTATACTTATAATTATTTGAACTTAACTTAACAGCTAGTAAAATTTTATTTAATCTATTTAGCTTAACTGCAGGAATAATGAATATCTATAGCTACAGCATTTATTGAGTCCAATGAGTAATCAATTAGATATTCAATTTGCATTCAAATATAATCCCATTGTATTATAAATAAAAAATGTACCTCAGGCGGGTATTAAATTAATTTTTTTATGTTATTGTTAATTAAACGCTTCTAAAATAACAATGTGCGGTTTATTTAAACATTTATTCATACTGATATTTTTAGGGCAGGTTTTTCCACGATAAATCTATATCTGCGCCGCGTTTCATAAAATTTGTAACGAGTTTGAAAAGCAGATCTCTATATTTCTAATGGGCACCAAACATTATACAATTTTAAAAGGGGTAACAACCAAAAAAAAAATTCGCGGAAGAGACAAATAACAGTAGCGGCGATTGTGGACAAAAACGAAGCAAAAATATTGTTTGCAAAATATTACAAAGAACCAAGGAAATATTAACATAGATTTATTCAAAATGCTTTAAAATGCACCAACAGATTAGAAATATCTCGAGAAAACATATATTTAGTAAAATAGTATTGTCAGCTTTTTTCTCGCAGCTGAAAAAACATTGTACCATTTACCATTGTTTAAATACTATATATTTAAACAGTGATTATTATACCGCTACGTACCAGACGGCACGTGTAAAACAGTGCCAGTTTTTAGTTTTATTTGCACCGTTAAAACTGGCACGAATGATTCTCAATATTCTCGTAAATTACCCAATTTTGACCTGTATAGGTAAGTAAGACCGTACAGTTAAAATTGTATAATGAGTGGAGCTCTTTGTGGGATTTTTATTCTATTGTAATGTTGGTTACATAATGTTATGAGATGACAAAACCAGTGTTGCCAGCTTAGCATATTTCCCCTGAGATCTAGCTTTTTAGAAACTAGTTTAGATTGAAGAAAGTATGATCTAGCGGTTACAAAATTTGATGAGAAAACTAACGTTTTACTCGGTATTTTTCTGTGTTATGAATTAATGCTGTCCTTGTTGGTGTCTATAAAGATTTGATAATAAACTATGTTGTAATACTAATAACTTCCAAATACCTACCAAACAGATATAATATAAAAAAAATGAAACATATTCTCGTTCTCATAATGAGGATGAAGACTATGCAGATTTAAATTTTTAATTAAGCTTTTTAATTATATTTATGATATGATGTAGATTTTGTTATCCAACAAAACAATATTAATATGAAAATTATTGTTTTATTTTCACAGTTGAACTATTAATAATAAGATACAGTATATTGTAAAAGAACATTTTTTATCAATGTATCTAAAACAATTAGAGGATCATTTTGTCCTATAAGACCACCTGTTTTTCATGAAAAAATAACTTTTTTAAAGAAAGCTGTATAATATTGTAAGAAACATAAAAAATAACTAAAATATCCTCTTCGAAACTTGCAAAAAACAAAAATCAAATTAATTGAGATGAAATACTTCGTTCATAGATAGCAGCACTTTCAAATTTTACATCATGTTTGTACATCCCTTTAAATGCGACCATACCATTTCTCACAAGAATCTATTTTTAAATATACAGCATAAAATTTAAAACATAACCGCGCCGCGCGCCATTATTCTATGGCTAGAAATTGGCCTCAATGATTTGGGATCAAGGGGGATTATCACTCTTTATCCTGCCTCATCTCGTGTAGGCCTGGACAGCCTTCGTAGGTGGGCCCCATCCGTCGTCTACCCCGACCGCAAATGCGGCCGGTGTAGGCGCTTTGTGGGACCTCCTTTTGTCCTGGCTGGGCCCCGCCGGCTAGGGCCCTTTCTTCTGGCGCTCTTCTTGCTTCGCCGGCTCGTCTGTGTAAACCCCGGGGGTAGTGTCATGTTTATGTGTGGTATGGTTGGGTAGGGTAGTGCGGCTATGCAGCCTGGGATGCGCTTTGCTAAGGTGGCCCTTAGGCTAGCGCGGGAGGGGAGGGTTAAGGAGGGTATGGGGGGTGTGTATGTGTGTGTGTGTGTCGTTGTCTTCGTTTCTTGATCCTGGCTGTCTCTGAAACAGAAAAGGTTAGCGGGCAGGGGGGGGGTCATTGGGGTGGTCACCCAGGGTCAAAAAGTTGGTGTCTAGGTCTTTTGTGTTTGTCGGTCACGTCGGGTACGTAGTCAACGGCTTGCCTGAGGAGGGGATTGTCATGTCTAGCGGCTACGTCAAATCGTTTCTCCGCGTTTTGTCTTATTGTCTGTGTAGCGTTTGTGTATTGTAAGTCTCGTAATATGTCAGTGTTTCTTACGTACCAGGGCGCGTCGGTGGCCGTGCGGAGGGCTATGTTTTCCACAGCCTGTAATGACTTTAAGTGGCTTTTTGCCGCGTGACCCCACGCCGTGGAGGCGTAGGTTAGCTGCGGTTGAAGTACCACCTTGATAAGCGTTCGCTTATTCCTTAAACTGAGGGTGTTTCCACCTTTGAGTAAGGGATAGAGCCTAGCCCTGGTGGTCTTCGCTCGCGCCACCGTCTCCACGATGTGCGGTTTCCACGTGAGACGCTGGTCCATCGTCACGCCCAGGTATCGTGTTTGTCGATTCCAGGAGATGGGTTCCTGGGATAGTGTCAGTCTGTCGAGGTTTTGTGGGATTTTTCGTTTGGTAAAAAGGATAGCCGAACTTTTGTTGGGATTAATTTTGACTTTCCACCTGTTGCACCAGGTTTCAAGTTGGTCTAAGGAGTTTTGGAGGAGGGAGACGGAATATCTAGGATCTACGGATTGGGATGTGATTGTCAGGTCGTCGGCGTATAAGTATATGTTGGTGTTGGGGGGATGTGGGATGTCGGAGTTGTAAATGGTGTATAGGTGTGGGGACAGGACGGTGCCCTGGGGGACACCGGCCTCCATGGGACGGGTGGTGGAAAGGGAATCTTGGATTTGGATGCGGAATTTTCGGTGGTGTAGGTAGGATTTTATGAGTTTGGTAAAGGATATGGGATATTGGTTGGTGAGCATTTTCATCAGTAGGCCTTCATGCCAAACCGTATCGAAGGCCTTTGCGACGTCCAGGAAGACAGCACCAGTGTACTGTCCCCTGTTGAAGGCCGCCGTGATGTGCTCGGTAAGGCGAAGGATTTGGAGTTCAGTGGAGTGATTGGGTCGGAAGGCGAACTGCTCGTCTGGAATGACTTGCAGTTCTTGGGAGTGGGTTCTTAGACGGGTTAGGATAATTTTTTCTACCACTTTGCTCATAGCCGGGAGCAGGCTAATGGGCCGGTAGTTGGATGGGATGGTGTGATCTTTGTTGGGTTTTGGGATAAGGATTATGTTTGCTGTTTTCCAGCGGGTAGGGAAGTGTCTTAGTCTGAGTGTCGCGTTTGTTATGTTTAGTAGGGCCATGAGGCCCTTGTGTGGTAGTCGTTTAAGTGTCGTGTTATGTATATTGTCGGGTCCGGGGGCTTTTCTGTTTTTAAGTCTGCGTATTGTCAGTCTTAGTTCGTCAGGTGTTGCGGGGGGGATTATGTCATTGTCTGGCTCTCTGTCGACGCGTCGGGCCGCGCGCTCAGCCACTATCTCGAATTCCTCGTCTTCGTCGGGCAGCTGAGGCAGTCTACACTGCAGTTCCAGGCTATCGGCGAAAGCCTCGGCCTTTTCCTGGTTCGTGTAAACCACCCCCACACTACCGTGGATTGGAGGAATTTTACGGCGAGCGGTCTGTCGCAGGGCCCTCTGCGTTTTCCAGAGGCTGTTGTCTTGTGGATCCAGCGACTCCAGGTGCCTAGCCCAGTTATCCTGGGCCAGTTCATCCAGAGCCGCCTTCACCCGTCTGTTAAGTACGTTTAAGTCATGTCTGTGTCGGGGGAGGCGGGTGCGGGTGGCAAGCCGTTTCGCACGTCGTCTGTCACGTATTAAGTTTTTTATGTCATCGGGGAGGGTGCCCCGGGGGTTTGTCAGTCGGGGGACAATAGTCTCCGTCGTAGTCTGAGTCAGGGCGTTTTTAATGTCAGTCTCAAGGGAGAGGATTGCCGCCTCCAGATCATGGGTGGTTTCGATGACTGGGAGCGCCATGTTTCCTTGCATTACTGTTCGGAAACGCTCCCAGTCAGTGAACCTCCTCGTGAAGGT